AGTGTGTCTAACTGTTACACTGATACTATGTCTAACTATTGCACTGATGGTGTGTCTAACTGTTACACTGATAGTGTGTCTAACTGTTTCACTGAAAGTGTGTCTAACTGTTACACTGATAGTATGTCTAACTATTACACTGATGGTGTGTCTCCCTGTTACACTGAAAGTGTGTCTAACTGTAACACTGATAGTGTGTCTAACTGTTACACTGATAGTGTGTCTAACTGTTACACTGATAGTGTGTCTAACTGTAACACTGATAGTGTGTCTAACTGTTACACTGACAGTGTGTCTGTTACACTGATAGTGTGTCTAACTGTTACACTGACAGTGTGTCTGTTACACTGACAGTGTGTCTAACTGTTACACTGAAAGTGTGTCTAACTGTTACACTGACAGTGTGTCTCCCTGTTACACTGGAAGTGTGTCTAACTGTTACACTGGAAGTGTGTCTAACTATTACACTGATGGTGTGTCTAACTGTTACACTGACAGTGTGTCTAACTGTTACACTGATAGTGTGTCTAACTGTTACACTGATGGTGTGTCTAACTGTTACACTGATAGTGTGTCTAACTGTTACACTGATAGTGTGTCTAACTGTTACACTGATAATGTGTCTCCCTGTTACACTGGAAGTGTGTCTAACTGTTACACTGACAGTGTGTCTCCCTGTTACACTGGAAGTGTGTCTAACTGTTACACTGACAGTGTGTCTAACTGTTACACTGATGGTGTGTCTTACTGCACTAACAATACTATATCTCCTTTATGACCCAAAATTGCAGAATTCACTCTATTTTTTCAACCAACATGCACGTTTTTGAAACAAGCGAGTGAAAATCCAGCAACTGAGCTGATGAACTTCCGCCAAAAGTGTTAAACTTCCAGCTGACCTATTTGTTAACCTAAGGGGGAGGGGGTGGTTTAACAAAGGTAAATAAAATCAATGTAATCTTTAAAATAGTTGAGGTGGACAACTCTTGTCCCTGCAAATAAATAATTTTGTTCAAAAATATCACTGGTTATGTGATTTCCGTGTATGTCACTGCAACACTGAAGTTGTGTCTCACTGTAACACTCATGGTGTGTGTCACTGTTAAGCTAACAGTGTGTCACTGTTACACTGATAGTGAGTTTCACAGTCTCAGCCAGGGAACTTCACATTTTATAACGATGATTTTATGCACTGTTCTATTCTACCCTATGCAATTTGGTTATGGAAGGGAGATAACTTTATATAAACATGTGCAAAAATTTTAAATAGTATTAGTTTCCCATAAATGAAATACAAAACTATTTTTAACTTGTGATAATTATACAAATTTCGATATCAACTACAATGCCATTACAAATATTTCTTAACATATTCTAGGTATAATCTTGAAAATTTCATCTTGACCCTGTACTTCTAAGCCAAATATCTCCACTAAGACTTTAGATTCTACATATCAAACTTCTATAAAATATGTTACACTCAGTCTATGATGTCCTACAGTAATTAGATCACTAATAAGACATTCTGTTTTAAATTGAAATATTGATTAATGCACCTTTGGTATCTAAGATCTGCTCAAAACAGGTGAAATCTTTGATATGTGCATCGTATAAAGCTGTTATATAAAAAAAACCTGCCTTACCTGGGACTATGTATCAATTCTTTCAATCATATTTGTTTATGACCATCCACTGTAGAATAAAGGGAACTGCAATGATGTCAAAAAGCCTAAAAATATAAAATCTGAATTTCTTACTCACTTATAACGACAACATGATTAATAAAAATAATACAGAAAAATAATTACAATTGAATTGAAACTTGTATTTCTGGTTGATTATTAGCATCATATTAGCATGATTTGAGTTAAAAGCATTTAAACATTATTCTCTTTTTTTTAGCAACATTTTAACAATTATGGTAATAATTCTAGAATCATAAAGTGAGACAAAGCTCTAATAAAGGGGAATAACTCTAAAACTGCACAGATGAAGAAAATTTCTAATTTATTATTAATCCCTCTGCCTTTGGCCAGGGGAATAATTTGCGCAATAGTTACTATCAGCATATAAGCTATTATCTGTTTTGGCTTCAGGGCTCATCCGGAAGGGTGATTCAGGCGAAAACTTCGCCGTGTATATTCCAATTTCGCTCTTCCGATTGATCAAAGAGAAGTCAACATCGCCGATAAAATCTTAATTCCCAAATAGTAATTACTTAGCAATGTAAAGAGCAGAGATTGTATCCGCCCATATGACGACCGCTAATTATCATTATCCAATCAGAGCGTCGCTTTATACTACCCTTCTACCTGTAAGCGAAGCGATAGACCGCCTACTCTAAACAGTAAATAATGAGAGCATCGGCCCGAAACGGTATAATTGTGTGATAGTTTTGCGAGTTTAATACGGGATTTGGCGATAATTATAAATTGTTTTTTCCCCGATTATCTAAACAAGTACAATCTTCCCTAATTGATGTACACGATGCACTTCGATGGTGGGTTTTTAACCCGAGTAAAGGCGATGTGCAATGGATTTTTCACGGCTATCACAAAACTGTTAGTCAATTAAAAATAATCAATTTCATTAATGATCAGCAACCAGATTAAAAACTTAATCATAGTTTTGAATGATTTCAGTCTGTTAACATCAATTTTTACTGTAAAATTGTTACGTCGCTCACGTCATGGCTACAAGGCGAAATGCCGTAACCGAGCAGTAAGAAAGTTACTGATTCTGATACGCGAAAATTTAAGAAAGCCAATTCGCAAAAATCTTCCGATTGGTATGTTGTAGACAGTAGGGGGTGTTTGGCATTGTTCTCTTTGTAGAAATGCCAAATTTGACACAGTTTACGCACGTGGGCAAGACGGGGCTTAACTACATATCGGTCGTATATCATGTAACGTGTATATAACAACAACATTTGTTTGGAAAGAAGTGTTCTTCTTGTTTCAAAATAAATTCGTAAATATGACGCTCAGCTTAAGATTTATCAATATTGTAAATTTTAAAAAGCATTATTTATAAAGATATTATCGAATTGAACATTTCATGAAAATAAAGGGAGGTAATTAGAAATTAATTTTCTACAATTTCTCAGTCAAATTTTTCAATAAGAAATGAATGTATGTAATTTTAGTGATCAAATATAATGTGCACAAATGTTTGCAGTACATATTTTACATATTCTTTGATGTTTGAAAATTGTTTTATAAGCATAATTATATGCATATAAATGTGACATTACAACGTTCAGGATTTTGAGAGAAATTTCTGTTACCAGAACAGATATTATTAATCAATATCCAATGTGACTTCATCTTTTCTTTTAAAGGTGAGGAAAGTAAAGTAAAAAATATGAAATTGATTTTATCATCATCCTTTCTTACACATTATTATCAACAAATGTACATGAAAATATATAAACACATATTTAGAGAAAGCTTAGATGCAATTGCCTGATCTACTACTAAATAATTAATCTACTTTTAATTAATACTACTATTAATTAATAAACTGGAGAAATATTATAAGTGATGTTAATTGTGTTTATATTATAATTAAAGGATGTATAGCCATACATGTTAATGCATACACATTGGGTTGTTTCCCTTCTCCCTAATTTTCGCGAGGTCGTCACTTCTCCCTAAAATTTCCCCCCAGGATGAGCCCTGGGCTTTAGTCAGTTATCAGTTGCAGGGTTTCTACTAGGAATTTTTATTTAAGAGTCCCAGGGACTCGTGCTTATAAAATATGAGGGTCCCAGAGAAAAATATGAGGGTCCTAATCATTTATTACTTTAAAGTAAGGTATTACTTATATATACAGTCAGGACTCAATACATCGGAATCCATTATACTGACAAATTCAAATAACGACAGTGAATTGGTGGGAACCAAATTTTTTCAACGTTATTATAATCCTTTATAACGGAAAATTCGTATTCCGACTCCGACACAATAAAATTGGAAACCAAACGTGTTATTTTCTATACAATCAGTACCCGTTAAACTGACACTTGGTCAGTCAAGCACGCGCATCATTGAGCCGTGAACAAAAGCCGCAAGGTGTTAAAACAGGTATTGTAGCTTGGTCAGTTGATTGTTACACCTTATTACAATACCAACGTGTTGTTGTTTTGTTACACTTGCCAACTTGTGACTTTTTATTAAAATAATGGCAGAACCTCCAGCTAAACATCAACGGACTAATTTAACTTTTGAACAACAAAAACGAGTTTAGTTTAGTTGTTATTATTTTAATAAAGTTGTTGTATTATGTGTATGATATGTAATGTGTATAATAAAGTGAACACATAAACACACAAAAAATCATAATAGACCTAAATACATAATGTTCAGATACCAGCGAATAAGCATATCATTACATTATAAATGATGAAGTTCAATATACTGACAAATTCGATATACTGACATATCATTTGGGAACCAACAGTGTCATTGTAATGAGTCCTGACTGTATTGTCTAGGTTTCATTCTTTACATTTATATACATTGTTCAACTACATATGCATTTTTATTGACCTTGTTAAATAAAATAAGAAATATAAACCATTTATTATTTATTGTTACTTTTTATTTTTTCATTTCTTTTATTTGGCTGAATGTTTGTGAAACTTGCATAAAGTCAAGATCTTTCACATCTGGTCCGACTAATTTTATCAATTAGTTTAACTGCATATAGCTCTACGTCTTGATGACGGACAAATGTATCTATTTTGGAAATTCGAACCTCCATTTTCCGAGGCAAATGGATTACATTTTTTGGTTGAGACGCAATGGCTGCATTTCATATCCGTGGTCGTCTCGTTTTGGACGAGCCACGGGTAAGCCACTTTTCATTAAAATTGGGGGAGCAGCCGACATGTTTTACGATTTATTTTGTAACAAAAAACGCATAGACTGGGACGCTTTTTTAAGGTCGACTAAATTCTAGTGTGCGCCGTTTTATTCCGTATTAAACTGTAATTATTTTACTATTCGAAAGAAAAAAGAATACCAAATAAATTTAAATGTCAAATTTATTTTGTACGAGCATACGCTGCAATTCAGCTTGTATCATAGCTTTTATACAAGTCAAATAGATCAATAAAATATATAATGGAGGTAATGGCCGCTCTGAATAACCAGTCGAGGTATCTCGCCTGATTCCTATAAACATGTACCTAATGCAGCGAAACAGCAAGAAAGCCAGACGTGTCGCGCTAATATTTAATTTCAAGCTTATTAAATAAAAACACATGTGCCATACTGAAACCATTTAACATTGGCTACCGGGTAACCAGAACCGAATGCAAAATAGTTTACCGGCTAATGCAAAAAAATGTGACACATCTGACTTCTTCCATGAATAAATTTTCGCCACAATAAATTGATTAATTTCACTTCTCTTAAAATAAATTTTCGCCACAATAAATTGATTAATTTATCCCCCAAATTTATTCATACTATTTTTTTTTTTTTTTTTTTTTTTTTATTAAAGAGACCGGTAACAACTTCCAGGTCTATACATGGCGTATTCCTAAATGCTTGACAATAGCATCCTTAATATAATCTAGATAGAATTCCAAACCTACTGAATTGAGATGTACGCCATCATCTCGAAAAAAGGCCGTGGCCGCATCAATATCTGGTATAATGATATCACTTAAGCCTGATGACGTAACAATTTTTCTGGCTAGACGATTAAGGCGTTTTCTTTTCATTTCGATAGGTCGATATCCCCTAATAGCGCCTGACCAATTTTGACGTTGTAAAATATCAACCCAGATTATCACAGTATGAGGAAAGGCTTCCCTTAAATATATAATTTCTTGTTCAATTAAAAGTCGTAGTTGAACTGTATTGACCGACACAAGGTCGTTACCACCTAAATGAATAAAAATAATAGAAGGTGGAAAAGATAACAACACCTGCATTTCTATTAGGCGTCTAAAACCACCCCATCTGAGGCCTCTCTCTGCCCACCAGGCAATGGACACATCCTTCAAGCCCAAATTCTCCTTAGCCGCATTCTTTGCATAATTCCCGGCCCAGTATGGGATTGAATCCCCCAGAATCCAAACATCTAAATATAAATAGACCAGAAAAAATAAATAATTTGACATGAACAGTGTTAAAAAGTGCCTTTGAGATACAGCTAATTATGTCTTATTAAAAAGGCTTAAGCTCGAATGTAGTTATTGAAACACCCAGAATTCCAGCGTCCTAACTGTTTAATTGTTTCCGCTGAATAACCCAATGATGCAAGATCAGTAGCTCTACCAATTCTAAAACTATGACTTTTATATGGTGCCACGAGCGTAGAATTAAAACGGATGGATTTTGATAAAACTGATGAAAACTGAGACCTAGTTACGACCGTACCATTTTTGTGACAAAACAATGAACCTTGGACATTCGGTCTACATACTAAGTAATTCTCTAGCGCCTCTACAGGGCAAGGTAGTGAAGTCTGTCTCGGTAATTTTAAGAAAACTGGTTTACCTCTCTGATTAGTTTTAAAATGCCTAAGACGAACCATTAAATAATTGTTGTTATGTGTAAAAGACACATCATTTTCTTGTAAAGAATTCTCACAATGGTTAATACTAGTCGCAACCAATTCACTCACACGGAAAAGACCAAAGTATGCAAGAACAAAAATCGATGTAAAAAGTTTCACCTCAAAATTATCGTAACAAACCATAGGTAAAGAATTGCAGATGTTAACTAAAACTGATAGAGTTATAGGAGCACGATTGTCAAGCGAGATTCTACTTCTATGGCAGCCTTCTAATAATTTTCTGATGATAAAAACTTTCTTTATGTAGTAAAAATCGTTAAGTTTATGGTAATAATTGATCCCTGCCAAGTACGTTGTGATTGATTTAGGTGACAGACCTTTCTCAAAGCAAAATGATAAAAACAAAATAATATGTTTTACAGGAATCGGTGATTGCTTTTCCATCCCATATTGCGACCGAAATTTCTCAAAGGCCGATAAAGAAGTATTGTATGTTGACCTTGAGTTGGCCGCTATTCCAGAGTGAATAAGCTTTCCGGCTCTAAACTGAAGATGTGCCAAAGGAAGGGTGGGACCAAGCAAGGTATTTCGTCGGCGTTTGGAGCTAACTCTCGAAACCTGGTCAACTGAAACCGAGATAAAGCGTCACATATATTGTTTTGGCAACCGGGGACATGCGAAGCCTTAATCAAAATATTGAGCTTTAAACAACGTAATGTTAACACTCTAACAATACACATTACCATTTCAGATTTAGAAGTTAATTTATTCAATATATGTACCACTGCAAAATTATCACAGTTGAACCGTATCTTTTTATTTTTAAGCTCATAACCCCATATATATAGTGCCGCTAAGATGGGAAAAAGCTCCAAAACCGTTATATCCTCTGTTATGCCCAACTCATGCCATACTTCCGGCCACTTAGCATGACACCAATGACCTTGAAAATATACCCCAAAACCTAAGTTTTTGCCACCCGCACTATCAGAAAACAACTGAACATCTTCGTTTGACACCCAAAATCGGTCATGAAAAACGGAAACCCCATTAAATTGTTTCAGAAAATGTAACCACATAGTTAAATCTAAACAAATATCTTCTTTTACTCTGATATGGTGATGTGGTTTATTTAAGCCACAAATTGAATTGATTAAACGACGAATGAACGGTCGTCCAACTATGACTGCTCTACAGCAAAAATTTAACGAGCCTATTAGTGATTGCATTTTCTTAAGTGTTGTTTTCTTATTTGACAGACATTCCTGAATTTTTTTTGTTACTTCTAGAACTTTAAGCTCAGGTATACGCACGCACATTTGGTTTGTATCTAATTCTAAGCCTAAAAAGGTCAACACTTCCGTCGGACCCTCCGTTTTGTCTTCGGCCAAAGGTACGCCCAGCTCAGACATTGTATCTTTAAAAGTTCTTAGCGCATGCGCACATGTTTCCTTAGATCTGTCCCCTCCTAAAAAATCATCTAAATAATGCAACAATTTCGCAGAAGTTAGATTTCTCTCAACAGAAAACTCTAAAAACCGTGCAAATCTTTCAAATGTGATACAACTTATAGAAGCCCCAAAAGGTAGGGCCTTATCAAAGTAATAATTCTCGTCAAAATAAAAACCTAACAATTCAAAATCACACGGCTTAATAGGAATAATACGGTATGCACTTTTGATGTCCGTCTTGAATAATTGACAGTTATGACCTAGATCTTGAACCATCTTGACTGCGTCATCAAAGCTTGTGTATTACACAGTGCATAACGCTGGATCAATGTGGTCATTAACCGATTCGCCTGGCGGGAATGACAAATGATGAATCATTCTATATTCACCAGGCACTTTTTTCGGCACTAAACCAATTGGTGATACAATTAAATTTTTGATTGGTCTTTTCTTAAATGGGCCAGCGATGCGGCCTGCGGAAAGCTCTTTACTTATTTGAGACTTTATTATCTCTGGATTAAGTGAAGTAGAACGCAGGTTTTTTGAGTCACGTGGAGCACGTGGACCTGAATACTGAATAGGAAAGCCGTTTTTAAAACCACTTAATAAAAACGAAGCTTCAACTTGATCGTAATATTTTAATAATTTCCTTAAAACTGAAAGTTTGACAGGTGATTTTGCTAAACAAAAAATATCAGAATTAACTTCATCTAACGAACTAAGGCCGTTTTTTTTTGTGCTATCAATTTTTTCTCCCATTTTTAGAGTCGCCTCTTCTGTAGAAGGGACTGGCACGAAAGGATTTTTGCGGGGGCGTTACAGACTCACTTGACAGCTTATTCTTAAACTGATTAAAACTTCCACTTGTTGATGACTGATTTTTAGTGCACGCAAATTCTGGATGAGGAGCCGCGCACGTGTTACACACGTGGGCAAATTTACAATTTCGCCATGAGCATCTACCTCTATTGAAATCATTACACGGGTATCTAACGGAACTTGATGGGGCTTTGGAAGGGGGGCGCAATTGCATGCAGCGCCACCACAAATCATTATTAATTTTTGACCATGAGGCGGGTGAAATAGCTTGACGGAGGTGAAACTGTTCGTCGTACGTCCACAATGCAACGTTTCATTGACGTAAAGCGCATTCTCTTAGGTTGAACATATAGTGCAACAGTTCATACATTTAATTTGCATGTGCCGACAAATAATCAGACATGTATATTATAAAGGCGTTTGTTAAAATTCGTATCCTTACATTCTTTCTGACCATTCGCATTCAAGCGATATAAACTGCCTGAACAAAACTCGGATAGCTCAACAGCCCCTTTGAGCAAAAGGGCTAGGTTAATATATTCACCCTTGCAAATTTGTTGCTTCAGGGAGCTTGGAACATGTGCCGCAATATCATCGTCTGCTATGCGGACCATGGCTAACGGTGGCGTAGTTACCACATTGTTTGCCGAATTTAAACCCGTGCTGGCCTTTCGCGGGCCTGAAAGCGGGAGTTCTAAAATATTTTGCGCACCACACCCCTCATTACTATTACTTAAATTTGAGCTTGGAATAATCTGAGACTCTTTAAGAATTTGTTCAAAGTCTATAGTGTTTGACCTACCGGCTTCGTTCTGCAACATGCGCTCATCAACGGAGTCCTCCAACGTTAACGCTGTAGAAGCTGGTCTCTTTCGGCCTCTCGTTGTTCTAGCATTTCTATCCTCTTCCTGAGGAGTAGGCAATGTTACAGCTGTCCTGCGACCACGTGGCATAGCGTTACACAGCAAATTAGAATTCTCGTTAAGGTACTATCAGTCTGAATGCGTTGTCGAAAGCAAGTGGGAGCATTGCGCGATTTTCACGCATTTATAGCAATGTAACTGTAAACGACTGTAGCTCAGTTTATGCACGTATGTGTAATGACATACTTAATAAAAACGGGTACCAATATTAATGTAATACACGGACTATTTCTTTCTCGAAAATAAATTGAATTATTTTGAATGAAAATAATTATTATTAATTGAAAGAAAGATAACTCTGCTGTATTCAATTTTAGAACCCGTCTACCAAATTACGTCATTTCCTTTAAAGAAGCGGAAGGAATTTCCAAATGATATTTACGGAGGAAAATTTAATTTGCGTCCCAATGGACGCACACTAAGAGTAATTGAGGGTCCTAGGTTACTATTTTTGCGTCAAGGACGCAGGAAATGTGCGTCAATAGAAACCCTGCGTTGATAAGCCAAAGGGACCGGCCAGTAGTGGCGACATGGCCAAGTGGTTAACACGTTGAACTAGTAATCAATTCTAAGGATTTTTGGCAACATGGGATCAAACCCAGTCATAGGCAAGTAGTTTTTTCCTTGAGCAAGAAACTTTACACTTACTACACACTACTCAGTACTGATTGATTCCAGGAACCGATATGAAAGTGTGTCTATAAGCTTATTTTGAATGATCCTATATCCTAGGGTGCACTCAGTGATTTTTGCCTATATTGAAAGACTTTGCTTAAAATTAGTATTAGAATTTTATTTTCAATATTACATTTTAAATTATGTTTACATATTTCAAATGCGCAAGTTTGGGACAACATTTTAATGTGACAATGACAAGTTATTTATGTGTACCTGGTGTGTACATAATTAATCAAATCTCCTGGTTTGTACATAATTATAAACTTCAGATTTTCATCCACTTACCTGATGTCCCATCTGCCTTACAGTTTCAATGCCCATAGCTAGCCCTGTAACTATACAGTAATCTGACTTGATAGCTTTCTTGAATATGTGATCTTTCATTGCTAAAAATATAAACAAAGCAGACAAACAATGAACCAAAAAATATAATAGTAAGTCATTAACAACACAAAATTTATTTGTATTTTAATATAATCAAATATAAAAGACACTGCCCTTTTACATACAAACTGGCACATGCAATTGAATACATCTGTGAAAGAAAGATTAGAACACACAAAAAGAATATTCCATTACTTCCTGTTTGTTTGTTTGTTTCATTTTACGCCTTTTCCCAACAGTATTTCAGTCATATTGGCGGGTAGTTTCCTAACAATCGTTCCTGGAGAGTTACACCAGTACTAGACTACCTTCCTCCGTGCTAAACTAATAAAGCATCTCCCAGGGTTCGAACCCACGCCAGAGAGGTAACTGGATAAGAAGTCATCGACTCTAACCCCTCGGAGGCAGTCTATTACTTCCTAGTTCTTTTAATTGAACATTACTTGTTTCGTTGTTTTGAACACAAATTATAAGACATCCTGCATTGAATTGTTCATTCACTAAAATTATCAAAATTGCATCATTGCTAAATACATACTATGAGTGAATTTTCTTTGTTGGGTTTACCATCAAACACATAACAGAGGTCAAATTAGTCCTATAAATATGACGTCACTTTGAGATATTTTTGCTTCTGGGCAAAGCAACGTCATATCCAAATTGCTCAAAAACCCATAGCACGTTCCGCCACAAAATCGGGCGGAACGAAAAAACAATAAGACAGCGTGTATGTACATTAATTTTGACCAATTTATGAACAAAACTAAAAAATAAATACCTTTTGACAAAATAATTAAACTGTCACATCCATAAAATCATGATTAAATCCTCTCATGTAATTAAATTCCTTATACAGCCGATAAAAAAATGGCTGCAATACAGTGCGTGAAATCTAATTGGCTAATTCAAATGCAAGCGTTTAACTGATTCAGAACATTTTAACAGATTATTTTTTTAACGAAATAATTGCCCATGCACCTTCAGCATGATCGAATATATTTTCCGTTCAAAAATTTGGAACCAATCTGAAAAACGCCTTACTTAACCAGTATGGCCGATAGACTAAAAGAGATTTATGTTTATATTTTATTTTAAATTGATAAGTACATTTTTTAGAGAGTTTTGGTTTATGATTGAGCATGAAATTAAAAGAAAAGAAGTAAAACTTTTGAATCAAGCTTGAAAGGCAAAACAATAGACAATTTTTGATTTTTTTATGATGCTATGCGTTTTTGAGCAATAACTATTAGATGTTAGGCTTGACCTACATAAAACTATAACAAGCCTGTAACGTCTAATTTATTGGACTAAGGTCAAATGGCCACAACTTCCCAGGTTTACTGGTGGTGGGAGACCTCAGCTTCCCCTCTGTATTTCAGGCATGACAGGCATCTGAGCAGAGCCACAAACATTCCTTAAGCTAGCTGGATCACATGAAATAAATGACAGTTTCAGGAAAAATTGGCTGTGAAATCTTTGGTTCATAAAAGGCTAGAATCTACTTGGACTCAACATTTTTTTTTCCAAAATATTAGTGTTTGATGTGTCAGATATGCTAGGGTAAAATAAGAGCAATGTCAAATATCTTGCAGAGAAGTAAAGTTGTCTATCAGGTATCACAAGTGTGTTACAACCAACACAAAATTACACAAATTTGATAAAACAATTTATTGAAGAAAACGGGCCAGAAACGGACAAATATGTTATGCTGCAAATGTCGCTATGATCGAATGTCCTTACGGGCAAACTACACTGTTTTCTTATTTATAAGATTTTCAATCACACAAGATTTCTTAATTGATCGCGAAAACATGTGATAACAAATATCGTTCCATGGACAAAATTCAGTTTAATACCGTTGAACATTTGATTTTGGTTCTCTTATTTGAAAACCGCAATTGTTTTCTAGCTGGTCGATAGATGTTACGGAAAATAACTCAAATGACACTAAAATACCCAACAATTTTGAAACAAATAAATATTTCCTTCGTCTGCAAATGTCGGCTTCCGGTATGACTAAAGTATGCAACGGATATTTTTGGCGCAATGCTTCGCGCGGAGTTCTAAAATGGAATATAGATCTAATATTGCTCAAATCTAGTAAATTTTGAGATTGTTTGAATAAATGATGAATGCACAAATATTTTGTAAATTTATGAAAAATATATCAAAGCAATATTAACACTAACAGGATTACAACATTACAAAGGTTAAAATCAAATTGCGCCAAAATACTCCCTTACGTATTTTAGTTATCCTAAATATATATTTTCTGCTATCCCAAGCATATTTAGAGATCTATATTTTTTACCTCTTTCTCTAAAATTTCATAATATCAAACATGTAATACACGTGTTGACAATAACCTCTAAAGCCTAAAATAGCCTAAGTCATTCTTTCTAAAATCTATAGATCTGTCACTATGATACACTGTATGATTTCGCTGTTCAAAGTCGCTCACCTGGCTAAATATGCATCAGGGACTCACTTTAAGTAGTGCTGTCTTTTCAGCTCAGCTCACTTCACCAATCTACATGCTTGATCTTCATCAAAATAATAATTACAATGTAATATCTGCATTGGTTTGTAGGTAAAAAATATCTTAGTCAAATCAAAGAAAATCTTGTTTATTAAAAGTCTTAGAGGTCACATATTTTTGATTGTCATGAAACTCTATCTTAATGATTCATTAATTATCTCAATAATATCTCAAATCAGTTTCAAGTTAAGATGAGTCATCTTTTGTCAAAATCTAGGTCACCAGGTCAAATATAAACAGTCTTGTGGTTACAATTTTTTGTCATTTGATCTTCATCAAACTTCATCAGAATGAATAGATTATCTCAATGATATATTCTCAAATGAGTTGGATGACGGGTCATACTTATTCAAAAACTAGATCACCAGGTCAAATCAAAGACAAGAGCTCTGCTGAGGTAGGGCAATATATAGGCTATGCCTGATGCGGTAAAGATCAACCTTAACATGTCTTTTGATATAATATACTTACATGCCAAATGTTGACATATTCATTGAAATCCTTAGAAAAGCAATAATTTCAAATTAACAAAGGGCAATAACTCAAAAAATAAGAAATGCAGAGTAATAATATCTGTCATATGTTACGGTTCGGACCGGAATATCCGTCCCGAGGTGACCTCGGCAAGCCTCGTTACCGCCCAATGGGCGGGTTACCGAGGGACGGATATTCCGATCCGAACAGCAAACATATGTCAGATATTTTTTCTTGCATATTCTACAATATTCCATTATAATTTAAATTCTTCATCCTTATTTCAAGGGAAATTTATAGCATTACAGCCGTAACTATTTTCTTACAACAGCGTATGAAATTGCAACTTCATTCATAACGGTAAAATGACGTCATCCTAAGCAGCACGCGACTCATCTGGCACCCCCCATGCCAGATGAAATTTCCGGCATGGGTAAAACACACAGAAACGCCAGTCTGATATGCAAGAATACCGGTTCTTGTGCACTGCACTTCGGGTCATTATAAGAAGCATGCATACCAAGTTTGAAGTCAATCTGACGTATAATGCCTGACTTATACTCAGGTCAAGCTTAAGGGGATGCCAAAGCTGACACCTACGCCGACAAAAGTAACCCCTATATGTCGCCTTTTTCAAGGCGACATAACAAGAGCCGCTGTCTAGGAACGTCCATAATCGACTTTTTTCTTATTTCTTAAGTCAAACACAGAGGAAGAATATTATAATAAAGACTCATTCTACAACATATATTTTTGTTTATTTTTTTGTAACAAATCAAATTCAAATTTCATATTTGACCTTTATGGTCAAGGTCATTTAAAGGTCAAGGTCCATTTGAATTAATCATCCTGTCAGATTTGTCATGAGCGCATGGTCATTTATCCAAGAATGAATCAAATCAATAAAGAACAAAGCCACCGCCAGGCGGGACCAATGCTCAACTTTTTACTTTTTCTAAAAGCGAACAAAGAAATGTTTGAACAAATCTTAATGTTTCCTTTTAAGAAATTTAATCGGTCTGTCTTGTCAAATTAGTTTTGTCAAAGTATGAATCCTTTCCATATATATCCGCATGTGTATTACAGAAGAAGAAAAATAAATCAGTGAAAGTTCAGTAATTTAACCTTCAAGGTCAAGGTCATTAAAGAGCCCAAGTCAATTTGAGATTGATAAACATGAATGTCTTGTCCTTAAGAATGTTCTGTTATAATATGAAGTCAATCCATTCAAAGCTACAGCCAGTTACAGCCAAATATATGAAAATTTCAATAATTTGACCTTCAAAGTCAAGGTCATTTATGAGTGAAGGTCAAGGTCTGTCTGATTACTTTTAAGGACTATCCTTGAAGATTATTATGTTCAAGTTTGAAGACAATCCATTCAAAAATAACAAAGTTACACCCAATTATAGCCAAAAAAAAAACAATTTCAATAATTTGACTTTCAAAGTCAAGGTCATATATGAGTGAAAGTCAAGGTCTGTCTGGTTATTTTTAAGGCATATCCTTGAAGATTATTATGTTCAAGTTTGAAGACAATCCATTCAAAACATTACAAAGTTACAGCCAATAATAGCAAGAACAAGCAAAATTTGGACTTTTGACCTTAACCATTTTTGGAAGAAGGTCAAGGTTAGTGTGGTCTACTGAAAGGTCTTGTCCCAAGGGTTGTTGTGGCCAAGTATACACAATACACCAAGAACTAAAAAAGTTATGATCCATGTACAAGTTTGCAGACGGCAACGCCGCCAGGACTATAACAATACCTCTACTTAAAAAAGAAAAGTCGTGCTAAAAAATGGAAATTTTAGATTGTTTTGCCAGTTTTACCTGCCATGGACAATGCCATGCCATCTACCAGATGGACAACACTGTTTGTTCTCGAAATCATAAAAATTACCTACTCAGTATTGGTTTTTAATCAGATTGGTAAAATGGCATAAGAAGACAAGTCTGGTAATATGGCATAAAGTCTGGAAAATTTAAGGC